CGAGTCAATAATATGACAGTTGTTGTCCATTCGTTTGATGTGTTTGAGCTTTTGATTTTGCAAATTGATTAGAGTCTTTCCGTTTTGAATTTCTTCGGAGTGTTTGTTTATGATTGCGATGGAGCAATGGGTACAAGAAAAACAGTGTTTCGGGAGATACCGATAACAGAGAAAAAATGGTCTGTCAAATGGAATGCGATTATAAGGCTTTACAACTGCTTGATATCATATGAATGCGCCAACTATCGTATAGTTAACCAAACAAAAACTGCTGAAAAATTTAAAGTAGTGGAAGAAAAATATCATTCAAAATAATCCAAGATATCCTTAAGGTCTGTCCACGGAAAAAGTGGAAAGACCTTATAATAAAAAAAAAAAAAGAAATTCAGTGATGTATTCGATTTTAAATGAAACCCCTAAACAATAATACATAGAGATCACCTGTCAATGCAGTCTAGATTATGGCATATTAATGTAGTTACTATAATGCATGCTTGTTATTTGAAATATATACACTTGCCGTATAATTTTATGAACTAAACGAGATACTTCCTTTTTAATTGACTAACATGATCCGCTAAGTTTTAAACGTGCTAGCTTGGAATCCCGACAGTGTCAAATTATGTGTGCTTTAATTTGACCGAAAAGTTCATTACAAATATGTGTACTTGAATGTATTATTTGTGCGCTAATTGTTCTTTGTTGAATTATAATATAATAAATAGTATTTATTCAAATGTACTAAATCTATAATTTTTTGAATTTTTATTATTCCAAGAAGAACAAGAAGGAAAGAACCCAGAAAGATAGTTTTTTCTCTTATCGTTTATAAATACTCGAACAATTATCGTCTGTTGATTCGTTAGTGCCTAAGTATAATATGTATTGCATCTTATTTTTTTCGAGTTTACATTTTAATCAAATTGACCAGGTCTTTTTAATTGTTTTAAAATTTTCTAATATCAAATGTATAATGCTGACTGTGATCAATTTATTATAATGATTTAACATTCTATAAATAAACACATTACAATTGCCTGGATATTGGAAGAATTCAATGGTTTATTTAATCATTGGAAATTTCAGATTTTATGTTGTTTTGTTTTAAGTCGTCTAAGACATGTTAGACCCTCTTTGCTTATTAAGCTACTTGATCTTTTTTAAATGTTTTTGATGAAAGTTAACCGTAATCACTTCGGATTAGCCGATTTTATCAAGTGCAATTTAATAATGAAATTTTGGTATTCAAAAGTTCTATACAATCGACTGTACAACTTATGTCTTATACAAAGGAGAGGCGGAAGATACCGAAGAGATATTCAAACTCATAAGTCGATGACAAACTGACAAAGTCATGGAAAAAACACGACTACGTGAAAAACAATCATATACAAACTTATTAGATCGTTTGACACGTTTAAACTAATTTTACCTGTTGTGCTTGATAAATTTTGTTTTAAATCTGAAACCTTAAGTCATTCATTTAAACCCCAGTGTTTTTTTCCTTAGTCTTGTGTTAATACGATAGCTAACAATTCGTGTACCTTTTCAAAGGTTATATAGTATTAATTTTTTTTGTATATAGAATCGATAAACTGTATAATTTTAATTTGGCTAATTTGATTTTTTTTCATATTTAGATTACAAATACAATTACAAACGAAAATTGAATAATATTAATTCTCATATTAAAATTTTCGATTGTAAGAATTTATATGTTCTACAACTGTTCTAAACAAATCATATTAATGGAAAAATAAGTAAAAAGACCGACGAAATGATTAATGGAGGGACCCTTACATCGAATCTGTTTGATTTCATTTTAATTGCGCACATTTTACGGAGGGAAAGATGAAACATGGAGATTGTAAGATAAATCATTTTTGCAACTCAATATTTGTACTTCTATGCACAGAACGAAAGAAATTGCCATGTCAAAATGGAAGGACCCGATTTTGTTAATGCTGTTTACAACATCAGGACCCGGTTTTGTCTGTATATAGGCACCGGTTTTGTTTCGATTGAAAAACTGGAAATTTATGAAATGCAACATGAATCTACACGGAACTTAAGAAATGGTTAATGTCAAAATAAATGGACCCGGTTTTGAAACATTGTACGACACGGTTTCGTTCTAAAATTCCAGAAAGCAGAAATCGGTTTTGTGAAAGAAAATAATGCATACTAGTATTATGTTCATTGAAATCTTCATGCATATATATTTCTTTCCTTGCAATGTTCTCAATGTAATGAGAAACTAAACAAATTTGATGTAAGGATCGCTCTATTCATCATTATGCCGTGCACTTTTTTACTTATTTCTCCATTACTCACACAGCTAATTAAATGGGCATTTTAAAAGTCAGAAAGCGAATATGTATGTTCAAACTCTTTTATGTCATTTTAAGTAACAATAAACAAGAGAACTAATTATATATGTGATTGGACCTGCTTTGATAAAATAACTGCTCTTGAATTTTTACTAGATAACACTTTGTTTCGATATGGAGAGTCCGTATTATGTTAAGTAATCGGAATTCCAATGGGGACAAACTGCGCACCACTTATTGCGGACCTGTTTCTGTATTGTTATGAGTTACAATTTATGACTAAAATCAGCAAAGACCCATCGACACAACGTCCGATAAAAAAATGCATTAAAACTTTTAGATATTTGGATGATATATTGGCTTTCAGTAATGACGACTTCAGTATGTACATTAAGGTGATTTATACTGCTGAACTGACTTTAAATAAATCTAATACTAACAATGACCACTACACACGCCATGAATGTGATATCTTTATCTTTAAAGGGAAACTTACTACCAACATTAATGATAAAAGAGATGATTTTTCATTTCTTCTTGTTAATTATCCATTTTTAGATGGTGACGTTCCCTTGTCAACATCTTATGGAGTTTATATATTTAAACTTGTTCAATTCGCTCGTGTATGTTTGATTTAAACGCAAGAAGCCTCTGTATTACTGAAAATTTATTACATCAGGTTTTCGATATCACAAACTAGTCAAAACGTTTACACAACTTTATCATCGGTACAAAGACATTGTTCGTAAATATAAATCAACATGCAGATATCTTATACGTTCAGGTATTTCACATCCGATCTTTTATGGTAATATTCTATACATGTCACAAACACAAACATGTGGGCATTCACCTCAAAAGCTAACAAAACCTTCAAGCAAACTTATTCAGAACGGATATAGTTACAATATTGTTGTCAGGTCATTAAATATGGCTTATTTTGGTATTATTATTGATTCACTCATAGGGTCTTTGCATCGGAAATAAATACATTTATTCTAATACTAGTTTTTGGAATGATACGAGTTATGCTCCTCATATATTTTATGATAGTATGATACTAAACCCCTAACGGGCGGGATTGTGCTGGATTTTTGTATGATGAAGACATAATCTTTCAATCAGTTTAATTGAGGTCTGGAGCTGGCATGTCAGTACCTGCTAGTAGTCCGTGGTTGATTTATGTCATTTTGCTTAGTTTCTTTTGTTACCTATTCTGACATCGTACTCGGACTTCTTTTATACTGAGTTTTACTGTGCGTATTGCTGTGTATTTGTTTATTCTACATTAGCTAAAGGTATTAGGGGATGATTAAGATCTCACAAAACATGTTTAACCCCGCCGCATTTTTGCGCCTGTCCCAAATCAGGAGCCTTTGGCCTGTGTAAGTCTTGGATGTTTTTTTTTTTAATTTAGTTCATTTACATAATTTGGAGTTTAGTTGTGACGTCCATTTTCACCGAATCAGTACACATTTTTGTTTAGGGGCCTGCTGAAGGCCGCCTCCGGGTGCGGGATGTTCTCGCTGTGCTGAAGACCCACGCCTGGCCTTCGGCTGTTTTCCGCTCCATGGTCTGGTTGTTGTCTCTTTGACACATTCCACATTTCCATTCCCAATTTCATTGTTTTAATGTCTTGACGCAAATCTCATTGAAATTTGGTATCGTCCAGGTTGATTCTTCCAAAGAAAGACATGACGTTCTAGAAGAACATGACCCCCTATATGTATATAATTGTTAAATAATACATGTTTTATCCGAAAGGTTATGGAGGTTGTATATTACTTCAAATTGTTCGATCGGCTTTGATCATTTAAAGTTCTTAAAAATAATGTGTGCGTAAACTGATACCCCCATATAAATTAAAACTTGTAGTTACAATAAAACATACTGTAATTACATTTATAAAATACAGCATCTCTAATAAATAGATAGCGTTTAATCATTTATTTACGTACGAAAAACATTGCACTTCAATTTAACATATTTTAGGACTTCATTGTGGTTTGTATTTAAACAATTATGACAGTTTATATATCCTCATAGTTGCCATTGTTTTGTTTCCTTTTTAAAGACCTGAAGGTCAGTCATAGTCAATTCCAGATTATATTGATTTAAAATTATGCATACACCCTCCAGTTTGTCGCGTGAAATAAAAGTCTACTTAGATTTCTTAATATGAAATTTATTTTCAATTGCTGGAAACATCTTTTTTCATATAGTGTTTATTATATCATATATTAAGAAATAATAGCTTGTTCCCATAAGAAACGTTTTAACGATTCACACCCTAAATAGACTGAATAATTCAAATACTGCATAATTTATATCGATATAACATATTATTTGCTCTGACCTTTATGTCAGTATGGTTATACTGCGATTATAATAAAAATTAAAAAGGTTCCTGAACCTTTATGGTTTCAAATCTTAAATTATTTAATGCTGAGTAAGCTATTTACGTCGAATGGGTAGTCCATGAGTCATGCATCAGAATTTTAAACTTTTTGAAATCGACCTTTATCTTTTTAAAAATCTCTCTCTATTACGTTTTGTGTGACATTTTTCCTTCACCTCATTTGGGTTAATTAAATGTCATACTGTCAAAATGAACAATAATTCGTGCTATACAGTTATGTCATTGTACCTGCAATTATTAAAGGGTATTTATTGCATGTCAGTGCTGATTCATTCAGATTTATAATCTTCTCACATTTCTAGTACTTTAATAGGTAAAAAAGGTGTTACACTGAAGGGTGAGTTACAAGAAAATTTGTCTGTTTTCAGCATTATAATGTCGATGTAAATTAACACAAAACCATGATTTCTTTTAAAAGTTAAATTATGCATGTGTGTCCTCATATTTCATATTTCAGAAACTGCCAAATAATTTTATAGTTATTTATTTATAACATTTTATTCAAATATATTTCTTTTTTTTAATCTTTATGGTATTTTTTTATTTTATTGAATGACAATAAAGTTAGAACCCACAAATAATTTTCCTTTCGTTTAATCTCAATCGTGTTAATGTTCATACCATCAAAAATGATCGTAATGATGAGTCATTAGTGTCTAGATGTAATATGTATTGCAACTTATCGATTAAATAAGTACACGATATTTATCAAATTGACCACGTTTGTCTCAATTGCTACCGGAAAAAAAAGTCAAATACATCAATTAAATTGTCCGATCCTGTTAATTGTCGATTATCCTTTTGTAATAAATTGATTTATTTTAGTTTTGATAGTATAATATGCTTTAAATAGACACATTGAAATTGCCTGCATACACAGGCAATGAGAAAACTGATCTGACTTTTAACACCTTCCTTTTATAAATTGTTTATTTATTTGTTAAAAGTCCCCTTTGTCATTTAACAACTCAACATATTATTATATCTGATTCCTGGATTTCAAGGTATTGGTTTTTGTTGTTCCGAGAAACATTTTAGAGAGTTGACCTCGAAAAGTGAGCGTGACACACCAACATGATGAATTGCTCTTGATTTATGAAATCGTATTATTTTCAATTAATATAAGAACGATTGAAGGATTAACTTATGTGAAAAATCAGTGACTAGTAACTTTTCAAAATTGTATTATGAATTGAATGTCAGGGCAGCGCGATGTTGTTGAAACTTAAAAACAGAAAGACAAAGATAAAGCAAATACATTTTGCAGATGCAAACAACCAATGGAATATAAGATAACAAATAGCTGTTCTGACTTCAGAAAGATTTTTGAAAAAAAAGTCCGTCGTTTGCTTATACTTAATTCAAAGTTCACAAAACGTGTGAATGGAAATGTGTGTAGGTGAAATATATGCTAATATGTGTTAATTCAGAGAATTTGTTTTTGATGAAGATTTGCAATAGTCTCTGCTAAGAGACACTTTTTTTTATGTTTAAAGGCTTAAGCTGAATTAGATGTACATATATTTTTAAAAACGCCAGATGTCGACCTACTTCAAAAGTTGTTTCTATTGTTCTATTGTATGTTCATTATTTGATGTTAATTTGGTTATTTATTTCGCTGTTGTATCACTCCCCCACCCCCAACCCCCATTTGTAAGCAAACACATCTTGTCTGAATATATGCAACTGTTTGAAAATATATTGAAAGTAATCAAAGAAATGAAAAGCCTTATGTCGTTTCTTTTTGTACATATTTTGAACTTAACATAAATAACGACGAGAAGCTAAAGGCATATTAATCAAAAGACTGTTTAACCACTTTTATATATAAGAAATGTAGTGGAGGCAGATACAGATTTCTTTTTATTGCTTAATTGTATAAATGTTTAGGCATTGCCTGAGTAATTTGATAAACGATTATACATAGTTCTAAACAAAGTGATATATTTGTATTGAAACATTGGTCTGTGTATTTTTCAACAATGTTAAGGCTTTATGTACTTAGTAAATTTTGTCTCAAGGATGATATTCAATTACATGCAAATGCGTTTTATACAAAACTTAAACTAGAGATTTGTAAAGTAAGATTATACTATTTAAATATCAACAATTATTTGTATAATTTCTCAAATAATTTCATTCAGTTTGTTTGCAATTTAAATGACTTTAACTATTGGCAAATATTTTGAATTACTCCTTCCATTTAGAATCTATTCTATGTGTTTACTAGTCTTTTGAAAGACTTCTTTAGAGTTCAAATCTTCAAATCTCGCTACATTTTACAAGGTTATTTAATATTGACCATATTTTTCATTTATACTATCGACGAACTGTATGATTAAAACATGTTCTGTTTTAAATTTAAAGTATAACTTTTTTTTTTTTAAATTTCAAGTTCATATTTGAATAGTTAATGAATTTCTTTTAGATTATTTATCCATGATCATTATCGTAGTGCAATATGAAAACTATCCGGTTTAGATGTTTTATTCCCGCTGTCAAGGCCATATATAAAGAATACAATTACTGAACCACCTTAACATATATTGATTAATTGAATTCGATCTGCAGGTATTGACATGACCAGACTATATTGTTTATTCCTGTATTGCTATGAATCTCAGTTTATGACCAAACTCAGTAAAGACACGTCATTGCTACAATTGCTTGATACATTCAACAAAACCTACCGTATCTTGATGATATTTTTTCGTTAAATAATCCAGAGTTCTCAAAATATACTACCCAAATTTACCCAAAGGAACTTACTTTAAACAAATCTAACATAAACAGCAGTAGTTGTCCTTTTCTAGATTTAAACATTTCAATTTCTAAAGGGAAACTCCATACAAAAATGTATTACAAAAGAGACGATTTTGCACTCCCTATTGTTAATTTTCCCTTTTTAGACGGTGATGTTCCTTTGGCTCCATCATACGGTGCTTATATATCCTAACTTGTTATGACCGTGTGTGTAGTGATTTCATAGATTTTAACGAACGTAATCAATGCATCACTGGTAATTTATTAAGTCAGGGATTTTGTTACCATAAATAACTTAAAACTTTTACTTAATTCTTTCATAGATACAAAGATTTGATTAGTAAATGTGGTTGTACCTGAAGAAAATTTTTTAAAACGGTATTACACAACCTACATTTTACGGTAATATTGTATTAAAAGCTCGGACATCACTATGTGATCCGTGTTAACTCAACGAACCTTTAAACAAACTGATTAGTAAAGGTTATCTTACCAAAGTTGTAATTAGATCTTTGAATACAGTTTGCATTGGCACAAATATAGATTTTGTCATCAGTAAATTTAAACATAACTAAATTTGTATTCTTTTCAAACGATTTTTTTTGGGGATGTATAAATACACATCCACGTTCATTTTGTATATAGAGATTACTCTATCTATATATTAAATTATACTCATTTATTAAAAGGTTAACTCCTAACTATCTTACTGCCTGTCGATACTTTTATTTTTGACATTGCACAAGGCATGTCTTCTTTGACTGTTCATGACGTTAAATACTAAATCCATTGGATGTGTTTTAGTAGATTTTAGTCACTGATGCATGATTTTTTATTATTACTTGTTTTTGGCTTTTAACTAGGTTCAGTAACTGCGAGTACACTCAAATCGTACTTTTGTGTTAATTTGACCTGTTTATACAATTTGTCATGCATTTTTGTTATTTAATGTTTACTTATTTAGTGTTATATCTCGTCTCTCTATTATTATAGTCTATAATATATACCAGCTTTGATAAGTGTTTGGTATGACTATACATTTTCACTTCTGTTCTTGTACTATGAACAACAAAATTATTTGTTTAAATTTTTAAAAAAAAATTTCCGTACTCCATGACTGTATACCTTTCTTCAAAATTATTTGCATTTACCTGTGTACGTTATTTTATTTGGCGGCATTTTGTCCAAGGTTATAGTTGTCTTTCTGAAATTGTTTATCATGTCACCCCTTATTTTATTGATTTTGTATTTACATTATGTCATAGATCCAATTATTCCTTCAGTGCATGTTCACTTGTTTTGTTAATATGTCTTTTGATTGAGTTAAGCCATTTCAATAGATATTTTATAGTGTGTCTTTCTATGTTGTGACGTTACAATATTGTTTCAGGTAAGGGTGAAGGTTGTAAACTATTAGAACGTTTAAACCCGCTGTATTTGTTTGCATCTGTCCTAAGTCTGGAACCTGATGTTCAGTGGTTGTCTTGTTTTGATGTGGTTTTTTTAATTTTACTTGTTCAGTATTTTTGTGGTACATTTTCACTATAAATGGAAGTAATTGTTTTTTTTTTTCTTCATTTTTATATATAATGTAATATTTAAGAAATAAAGGAAAAGAAAACATTATAGAAAAAATTAAACTATATCTGAAGACAGTATCAAATTGTGCAATCAACTAATTAATGTCATTATAACGAAACGTTAAACTTCAAGTACAATCTGTTCGCCAATCAAACAAATGAATATAACTATAAAAGCCACGAATTTTATGTTTGATATTAACTACATAAACTAGTCGGCTATTTTATAACCCATTCTTCCTCTTATAAATCAATATTGATCTAAAACGACCGTTTTGATCTGGATAGCATCGTGAGAGATTACTGTTTAATTCATTGCTAAGTCATGTTCAGTCTTTCAGTCATCTAACAGACTTATCTCCTGTGGTAAATTAAGTACTGTTATGATAATGTCGTAGACGTCAATAAAGATCAGTTGAGTCTATGTTCGTCTATTCAGTATGTGTTTCAGTAATTGTCTGCAAAACGACTGAACACTAGTGGTTTTATTGCAAAATGTTATTAAAACCCTGACTATATTTAAAAAAAAACTTAACAAGTTTTAGGTTCAAACTTTTTAGATGATGCTAAGATCATAATAACTGTTTAAGACTTACTTTTGTTTATAATTGTTTGCCTCTGACATGTCTGACCAGCTTTGATTGTTTCGAATCTAATATTTGTATAAAACTGTGTAATCTTTCTACGTAAAACGGATATTTCGCACAGCATGCAACGGACTCCTAAACTTTAATGAATTGTTCAAAATAACAAATGAATCAGACAAAAGTTTTACAACTTATTAACGTCTTATCCAAAACAACAAGAAATATACACATTACCTAATGAACACATCAAATATATAAAGGCATGAAAACAAAAGGAAACTTGTTGAAATGAATCAATGAGTTTTCATCGAGTGCATCTTTTTACAGTAAAAATAAAAAAAAACAAACACATTGAATTGTCAGTGTGGAATTATTAATGCCCAAATCCTGTTATGTGTAGACATAAC